AATTCTCTAAATCTATTCCTAACCCATTTCTCAACACTAAAGAATAAACACCGACTTTGGTCACAGGCGATGATCTTCTGTTTCCCATAATCAGGTTCATCTTCCCATGCTCCATTTCCCTACTTCTTTTTAGGCCCTGCAAATCAGAACAAATGTGGTAACCACATCCTGTATCAAGAACCCATGAAGTAGCAAATGATGAGTTATTAGATTTAATAGAATACATACCTGCAAATGTGGGCTTGATCTTCCCATCTTTTATGTCCTGCAGATATTGTGGGCAGCTTCGCTTCCAGTGGCCCTTTTGGTGGCAATAGAAGCACTCTGCTTCTTTAGGATCGGAAGAGGGTCTAGCGGGGCCTACTTTGGTCCCACTTGAGGACGAACCATCACGGGGTTTCCCCTTATGGTGGCTCTTACATGGAGCCTTCCTCTTTTTACCCTTTCCTTGACCTATCGCCATCACAGGAGCGGCCACAGCAGGGGACGGTGCAACGGATTTGTCTTTGAGGTTGCTCTCAGCAGTCCTCAAGAGTCCTTGGAGCTTGCTCAAGGAGACCTCCTCTTTATTCATATGGTAGGTCATCCTAAACTGATTGTAGCAGGAGGGCAAGGAGTGGAGGATTATGTCGATAGCCAAATCCTCATCAAACTTAACATTAAGTTTGAGAAGACGATCAACATACCTCTGCATTTTCTGCAAATGAGAGGTTAGGGATTCTCCACTCCCCATCTTAGCGGTGATCATGTTAGTAATGATCTCATAGCGCTCTTGCCTCGCGCTCTGGTGATACCTTTCCAGCAAATCCTGATGCATTTCATATGGATACATGTCCTCATAGGACTTTTGGAGTTCGGGTTCATGGTGGCCAGCATGATGCAGTGAACTTTCGTGGCATCACGCTCGTGGGCCTCAAAGGCGGCCAATTCCTCAGGAGTAGCAACATCTGGGATGATCTTCTCAAGCTTTTCATCGAGGACATATTCTTTGTCCTCGTAGCGTGTGATCATGCGGATATACCTCATCCACTCGGTGAAGTTTGAACCATCAAATGTCACTTTCTGACACAAGTTCATCAACGAGAATGACCCAGAAGCGTTGTTGTTGTTGTTTGTTGACATCTGAAAAGGAACAAAGTTTGATTAGAAATGAATCCCTAATTAAACACCCAAATGAGTAATTAGGGCTAGGATCCAACAACATTATTTACAACTTAGAAAGGGATGCCGTACTCTAAAAGTAAATAATTTGAAGGTAAGTGAATGACGATTCACTAATTCTCACCATGAAAAACGAAAAAGCAATTTAGGTTTTAAATGTATTGAAAACTCCTAGATCTTTGAGATTCATTGAACTTTTCAATGGCATGTTTAAATCTCGATATGCATTTCAAATTTGCGACTGGGATGCCGAGGATCGCAAACAAATTTGTGAATAACCATGCGAATCAACGCGGTGCACTCAATGTCTTTATCACCTAATCAATGTGCCGGTGAACCACACACGCTCCATTGATCTATGACAAACATCGAGTCACCCTTCGCTACCAATGTCATCCCCAAATTGATGTGCCGGTTAACCACACGCGCTCCATCAACGTTTGACAAGGGTACGAAGTGTAATTCCATGGATTAGCATCATTTTCACATTTTACCCTAAAGTAACTAAGAGTGGGAATTTGTAAAACAATGTAGTTACTTTAATATTTCCATTATACTTTTAATGAGGAATTAAGTGCCCTATCCTATCCGTTCGGCTAACGACCCTCCACCAGTCAAGCAAGCGGTAGATGTGAGTGTACATCCATTAAGCGCCATTTTATAGGCAGCAACCTTATACCCACCTTATAGACCGGCTTCGTGAATGAGGCCTACTAGCGATAAGACTAGCTTATTCTTATACATATATAATAATTAATCTTATAATATCATAATTGTATAAGGGTGTATTTTAAAACATTTCAAAAATACTAGTATCTTAATGTGTATTTAAAATTTTCGGAATTAAGGCTATTTAATTTAAAATTTTAAACACCAAAAATCTTTGATTTAATAATTATCAAAATCAAACAATTAATTTGAAATATTAAATCTTTAGGGATTATCATAAAATTAAACTATTAATTTATTTAATCCTTTTATTTTTAAATATATGGAAAGGATAATACAAGATCTTCAATTATCTAGTTTAAACAATTAAATTGATAATCACAAAGATAGTATTATCCATATCCCTAAAATCTTGGGATCTTATCTTGGGGACAAGGGATTTTCGAAATCCCTAGGGTTTCATAACCCTAATTTCGAAATTTGGAGGCTAGGCAAAAAGGTTTCAAGAACCCTATCAAAAATCGCCAACTAGGGTTTGGCAACCCTAATTTGCGAAAATCACCAAGCCTTAGGGTTTACTTGCCATAAACCCTAATTTGTCAAGTTCATAATATGCATCAAATCCAATTGAAAACAAAAAACCAATGGCTCTGATACCACTGTTAGGTTTTATACAAACAATCCTATGTGTGCATGCAACCCTAGTTTGGATCTATGTTTTCACTATAAGACATACAACTTTATGAACACAAAATAAACCCTAGCATGCTTCTATAATTTTCGAAATTTACATAGAAGTGTAGAAAACATACCTTTGTTGTTATATAGCAATAACAACTAGTTTCCTTGATCTCTTGAACTCTCTAAACTCTTGAAAGCAAGCACCACAATTGTAGTGCCTCTAATGGCTCACAAACACCTTGAAGCAAGAAGGCAACTAAGAGAGAGAAGGGAATGATGCTAATTTCGGCCCTAGGGTTCCCTTGGAATCAAGTGGCCTTAAATTGAAGCATAGGGTATGTATTTATACTATAGGGTGCTAGGGTTTCAGTCAAAACCCTAATGGACAGCTTAGCCACCAAGCAGCCCAAGAAACCTTATGGAATGAGGCCTTGGACGAAAATATGATGATCCTTCATCATAATTTCGTTCCCCCTTAGTCCATTAGGTTTCCTAGCCCAAAACTCAACTATCACACAATTGACAGTTTATACCCCTTTATTTAATTTGTCTCTTTTAGTCACCAAATTAATTCCTAATTAATTTATGACTAATACTAATCAAATAAATATGATTTCTCCTTTAATATATTATTCTTATAATATATTAATAAATCATAATATCTCCTCTCTCATATCAAATTACCTTGTCAAGTTGCTTTGGTGAAGGCAACCCAAAAGGACCATGCACACTCGGGTCAAGTATATACCAAATATGGTTACTGACTTAGACATTAATCCAACAGTATGATCATGAGCATCAACTCGACGAGTCTGTTGAAGATTGCCTTGGACTCGGCGAGTATGTTCTTGGACTCGGTGAGTCTGGTCGCAGAACCACAAACCTTTTCTGGTTAAGCCTCAAATCAGTGAGTCAGGATGTGACTCAGTGAGTGGAGCAGGATAGAACTCGGAAATCAGTAGACTCGGCGAGTCATGGTCTGACTCGGTGAGTCGAGTCGTGATTGAAAGGGGTTTCTGAGCTTATGAACTCGGCGAGCCAGTAGGCTGACTCGGCGAGTAGGGTCAACCTGGAAGGTTGACCTCGACCAGGATTTTGACCTTGACCAGAGTTGACTTAGTTTGTCCGTTGAAGGGCAGTTTGGGACTAAGTGTTATATTTGGTATTTGTAGATTGGGGCGTTATTGGAGTAGCAGTGCGCGAGTTGTCAGATAGCAGTCAGCATGGTATCAGCAAGAACTCCAGCAGTGCAGGTGAGTTTCCTTCCAGTAGGAACGGGTCTAAGGCCACAATGCCGGCTCGTTTTGCTAGTAGTAGTTTCCGGACTTCGGTCTGATGCAGTAGTTAGTATGTTTGATGCCTTCGTGGCTCAGACAGGATTCATGTGTTATGTGTTCCGGGCTACGGCCCGATGCAGTATTCAGTATATGTGTGTTCATGCTAGTTGATATGTTTATGTTATGCTTTGTTCAGTCAGTTTCCGGACTTCAGTCCGATGTAGGGGGCAAGGCCCCAGTTTGTCCGGACTTCGGTTCGATGCAGGGGACAAGGTCCCAGACAGTTTCCGGACTTCGGTCCGATGCAGGGGCAAGGCCCCAGATAGTTCGGACTTCGGTCCGATGCAGGGGACAAAGTCCCAGTCAGTTTCCGGACTTCGGTCCGATGTAGGGGGCAAGGCCCCAGTTAGTCCGGACCTCGATCCGATGTAGTGGGCAAGGCCCAGTACGTGCTTATGTGTTTATATGGTATGTGGTAGTTTGGGGGAGCTCACTAAGCTTCGTGCTTATGGTTTCAATTTTTGGTTTCAGGTGCTCAGTTTTTAAAAGAGGAGCTCAGAGAGGTTGCAGTGCACACACCATAGTCAGTTAGCCTGGGATGTTTTACTCTGATAATAAGTTATGTTTGAAATCAGTACTATGAAATTATGTTATGACTTACGATACGGTTTTTATAAATGTGGTTTTAGTGATGTTTTAAAAGAAAATTTTAGTCGTGAAAATTGGGTCGTTACAAGTCGGATGCCTAAAATCGATGGTGATTGGTCGGCGATAAAAGATATGCTTAAGCAGAATCGACGATTAATGGTGTTTAGTTCCAAATCGGAAAAAAAGAGGCATCACATATATAGTAATTGTGGATCTCTTTGACAGTTCCTTTGTCGATATATGCCTCCTCCACGTTAATTCTTCCTCCTTCGAATCCTCACCTGCCGATCTCACCTACCGTAATCTGTTCCTCCTCCATGATGATTCCGAAGCCATAGGCATACCTGGTCTCCTCGTCCTCCCTCAGTTGTTCAAGGCAGGGATATAGTAATCAAGGTGATATTTCCTTTTTTACTTTCATTTGATTAATTATCAGTCCAATTGCTAGTCCAGTATACGATTTCCTTGGTTGAAATTATATTTACTAAAAGAAGTATTCAAATCGTTTGATTGATTCATTGCAGTCATTTGTTATTAAATTACTTGATGTATGAACGAAAGCACATGCTAGATGGGAAGGCACCTCTTCTAGTTCAGCAACCTAATTCCTTTGGAATGAGTGATTCCGGTCTCAATGGAATACCTTATGCAGATAATACTACAAACAATGAGGATGATTCTTTTGACATGTTTGCTGAAGATGATAACAAATCTAATGTTGATCGATCGACTGGTAAGCAGACATGTAGTTTTTTCATTTTTTTCATTCAGATTGTTTGTTACAATATTTCCCATCAATTCTATTTTCACTTGCAGGCATTGGATCTACAAAAAATGATTATGTATTTTATGAGTCTTCAGGGTATGCATCTCTTTTTGTTTTCCATTGAGATTTATATTTAGTAAAAAAAACAACATCTTATTGTTTCTTCATTGGCTTTATTGACAGATGGAGGAGCTTGACTTGACTGTGTTGTGGTATGTAATATGTCAATTTTAAGTGGCTATGGTTATGCTCTCTATCCATTCCATTTAGTATGATCTATTCAATTAGTTTCTATGATTGACTGATGTGCTTGTGAATTTTATGAGATATTGTGAAGAACTTAGATTTGTTAAAGTACTAACTCTTTTTAGATTGAATTTGAATAACTCGAAATAACAAGTTCTTTTATATGATGTGTTTTCAAGGGCAATGGCGGAAGATTCGCTTGGAATGAGTATATTACCACAAGACGGAATGAATTTGATCATGAAAATTGCAAATCATGAACCTAAAACTGGATACACCAAATCAGCCTTGTAAAGTAAGCTTTTCCCTACTTTCAATACAAATTCACAAAATTACCTATTTTCAATCATGTAATTCGCATATAAATCACATGTAATTCACATATGAATTATATGTAAATCACATGTAATTCACATATGAATTACATCTGATTCACATGTAATTCACATATGAATTACATGTGATTCACATGTAAATCACATATGAATTACATGTGATTCACATATAACTCACATGTAATTAGCATATGAATTACATGTGATTCACATGTAATTCACATATGAATTACATGTGACTCACATGTAATTCACATATGAATTACATGTGACTCACATGTAAACACATGAATACACATATGAATTAAATGAGATTCACATGTAAATCACATGTAATTAACATATGTATCACACGTAATTCATATGTGAATCGTCTGTGATTCATATGTTAATCACATATGTATTTTTGTAAGTGTTTTTGAATCAATCAATTTTTTTTTTAATTTTCTTGTAGATTTGGAAGAAATTGTGGTGAATATTGAAGAGGTGTAAATGATAAATCGAAGAAAACTATGGAAATATTGACACGAAGACATAAAAACACTTTGAAATTTTGTAATTTTTTTTTTGTTTTTAATATATATTTTTTTTGTAACGTATAAAATACTTATTCTATAGTGTTTATAGATTGGTAAATAAAATGAGTTTTCTTATGATTTTCTTACAAATATTATCATATATGAAATATGCATATATACATTTGTAAAAATATGCATAAATGTACCAAAAATTTTGATTTTTTTGGTTAAAAAACTATAGTATTTTTTAAATATTCCAGTTTTTTTTTTTTTTTTAAATTTTATTGATTTTTAAATGCTTTTAAAAATATTACAGTTTTTCTACAAAAAAATATTTTTTTTTCAAAAACTCATATTTTCTATAAAAAATTAAAAAATTTGCACTTTAGAAAAAAAAAAAAAAAACTGAAAAATTTTATATTTAAAAAAATCCAAAATTTTGATTTATTATGTAGCTTTTAAACATTTCTATTAATATTTACAATAACACAAAAAATTAAACATTAAATGAGATTGATAAAATTACGATCATGTTATTAATGAATTAGTTTTGATCTAACGTTCCACTTTTAGTTTTCGGGTTTTCGGGAAACTATGAGTTCTCAACCGATATATATATATATATATATATATATATATATATATATATATATATATATATATATAATATATATATATATATATATATATATATATAAGGTTAATCCGTAGAAACTACGGATAAAAAATTTATAAAATTTATTAAATTAATAAATTTTAAGTTATTCTGTTTAAACTTTTGTATTGATATATATATATATATATATATATATATATATATATATATATATATATATATATATATATATATATATATATATATATTTATTTGAATATCCGGTATATGTTCAAAAAACATATTTTTATTCAAAAGATCTTTTAATTAGATCATATAATATAGCTTTTTTAATTAACATAAGAAAACTCATCATCCAAACTTATTGACATATGTAATTTCACTTAATCTAACTCTTGCATGCATCTTATATGCACACACAAATGATAGACTTAGTAAAGATAGATGTAAATCAAAATAAATACAACTCTTTGAAAGTAAATACACAAATGATAGACTTGGTAAAGATAAATGTAATGCAAAATAATTCTATAATTCTATGATTTTAAGATATATAAAATTGTCACGTTTTTTAAAAACCTCATGACTTGCCAAAGCTCATCATGACTTAGGCTTGATCTTGCCACATCTCACCGTGTTTAGAATCTTAGTAATTAGGCAATGTATTCACTCAAATGTGAAAGGATGTGCTACATTCATTCTATTGAAGTAATTGTTAGTTTAGGAAATTCATATATTATTTACTAATACAAAAAGAAAGGCTGTTTGGTTTATTAAAAAATAAACATTAACAACCTGATGCTCTTGTTAGTTTATTAACCCTTTTTATCTAACAACTTTAAGCATGTCCATAAATGCTTGTGGTGCAGCAGTGTTCCGACTACTATATAATCAAGTCTAACTCATAGTTGTAATGCTATAGTAGTTGTTCAAAAAAAATTTGTCATGCCATAGTTCGCTGAATAAAGATTCAACGTAAAAGTTTGTGTGTAATAAAAATCCAATGCGATTAAATTTTAAGTTTCAAAAGCTAGATCGAAATTACTTCTAGCCACTATCTAGCATCTGTTTTTTTAGTAGTAAAAAATGAAAATTGAATGATCAAATAATTTTGAAATATGTTAAAACACCTAGGATTCAGAACATAATCACAATTCCACCGGAGGATAAATGAAGTTCATTCTTCGTAGGGTCTCGAAGGCTACCATAAATCTAAAAGGAGTGACTATCAAAAGTTCACATCTTATCTCATATGGTCTTGAATGCTCATGCAATAATACGACAACAGTAATAAGATAAATTTCCAAACATAGAAATTTTGCTAAATAAGTAACAATAAACAATAAAATATATTAACTTGGGAAATAAATCTCAATCTTTGACTTATAATTGCTATAAAAATACCTTGCAAATTCCCATATCAACATTTTACTAACTATGTTCCTTCTATTAATTGTTTTAAATTCCAATACATTGAGGAAATACATAAGATTTAAAGTCATTGAGAACCATGAGCTCATCATTCATCAAATATTTTAAGCATGTTAGTGATGAATTCAACCAAATTTACCCGAATATGTTCTATTAATAAAAATCAGATGCAAAACTTGCCACTATTTAAATGTTAGTCAAACGTGTAAATAACTCACTTTGTTCTTGAGCTTGATCTACACATGGATTATAGAAGAGCTACCATTAGCTAAAAAACGTAGCACTATAAAAACTCCATATTAGTTTTCAACCAAGTATTCTTCACATTACACCCCCTATTATCAAATGCAATATCAAATTTCATTTTATCAATTAATTAAATACCAACCTTTCCCATTAATCGTCTAAACAACAAAAAAAATAAAAATAAAAACACACACACACACATGAAAATCAAAACTTATTTACATGATGTTTCGATACATAAACCAAAAAAAAAAAAAAAAAAAAAAAAAAAAAAAAAAAAGCGAGGTCATCCATCCATGGTGTTTCAGTTACTGGAAAGAAAATGAAGTGACATGAGAGAAGGGGGGAGGGAAGATGTGAGAAAAATTGTTGTTTTACAAGAGGGTGAAGCTGAGAGATGTTTATTTTCTAGTTTTGAAGAGTAGAGACGGAGATCGGACTTTAGCACGAGAGAAGGAGAAGAGATCCAAAGGAGTATATGAGATTTTGAAATTGTAACGGGGATGCTTATCTAACTCAAGGAATAAGAATTGTTGATTTGACGGGATTGAATTTAAATATATGATTTAAGTTTTTGGAAGTTGCCGTAAATAATGATACAAATTCAAAGTCTAAATACTAATTTAAATAAATAGTGAGGAGATTTCGCAAATGAGTTAGACTAATTTTGGAAATATTAATTAAAAGTGTGAAGGGTATAAAGGTAAAATCACTTTTGGCTGAAAATCAATGTGGAAGAAGCTTGTGGAGAAAATGATTCTTTTATTTATATATATATATATATATATATATATAATATATATTATATATATATATATAATATATATTATATATATATATATATATATATATAGGGAAAAGTGAATATACCTAACAACCTTATATAAGCTTAGGTACCTAACCACATTATACTATATTGTTTTGCATTATATTTCCAATGCAATGGTCTAAGGTTCTTAAACTTCAACCTTTAACTTGATTTACTTCCAAGATTTTCAGACATTCACCATTATATTCCTCCTACACCATTTGATTTGTAAGGGTAGTATATGAAGCCCACCAGGGGGTCTCCGATAGAAAAAACGTCATTTGAAGGAAGATAATGGTGAAAGTCCAAAGATTTTGGAAACAATCAAGTTATGAGGTTGAATTTTAAGAACATTGGGTGATAACAATGCAAATATGATACAAAAATTACGTAGTATGATGTGGTTAGGTACGTAAGCTTATATAAGGTTGTTAGATATATTCACTTTCCCCATATATATATATATATATATATATATATATATATATATATATATATATATATATATATATATATATATATATATATATATAATGAGAAAAGTAAATATACCCTTAAGGATATATAAGCTTAGGTACCCAAACTTACTATATTATATCGTTTTGTATTATATATTTAAATTGTAATTGTCTAATTGTTCTTATAAATCAACTTATAACTTGATTACTTCTAAGATTTTTATAAATTTCACATTTATCTTCCTCTTACATACTTTTCATTTTCAACTATAATATATATAGCCTAGTAGGTGTTCGGCAAAAAAATATGATATAAGAGGAAGATAATAGCGAAATTTCAAATATCTTCAATGTAAATCAAGTTAGGGTTGAAGTTTAAGAACATTATTATAAATATATCTAACAAAACTACTAATTATTGTAAGTTTGGGTACCTAAGCTTATATACCCTTAAGGGTATATTCACTTTTCCTTATATTATATATATATATATATATATATATATATATATATATATATATATATATATATATATATATATATATATATATATATATGAGAGTTCAATTGAGAAAAAAAGGTTGAGAATGGAGGAATCATTCTCAGCCACACATTTATTTTGACGCAAAACAGCTAGGCGTACCGTCAGAAATGGATAACGGATAAACTTGTGTTTTCCAAACAAACATGTTTCCTTAAACTATGTTAATCATTATCTTAATATACACAACAACATACTTTTTTCTTTTTTGTTTTTAGAAAGCCATTTTTATTGAAAATTTATTTTAAATATATCAAAATTCATAAATTTTTATTCTCTATACATATACATCTATATTGATATAGTTTTAAGATAAAATAAAAAAATTATTTTTTTTTAGAGTTTCAGCTTTCATTATTCATAAGTGAATAAAAATCTATCAGATTTTTATTATAGTATATTCGTTATTCACATATGAATAAAACATACGTTTAACTTTTTTTTATAGTTTAAATGTCGTTTATATATGAATATGACACGTAATAAAGTTTTCTTACTTAAAATATATTTTTTACATTATCTTTCGTCATATATTATATTTATATATGGATAAAATGTGTATTACTTGTCGTCATCTTTTATATTGATATATGAATAAAATATTTATCAGATTTTTGTTACAGTTAATTTATTATTCATATATGAATAAGTAATATAAATAATACTTAAACCGTAAAAAAAATTAATTATATATTTTTATTCATAAGTGAATAACGAATGTACTATAGCAAAAAATTGATGCATTTTCATTCACTTATGAATAACGATAGCTGAAAATATTATTAAAAAAAAAAACATAACTTTTTATTTTATCTTAAAAATATATCAATATGGATGTCTATATGTAGAGAATAAAAAATCATGAATTTTGGTATATTTAAAATCATTTTTCGAGAAAAATAGTTTCTTAAAAATTAAAAAAACAAAAAAAAATCTATATATATATATATATATATATATATATATATATATATATATATATATATATATATATATATATATATTAAGGTAATGATTATTATAGTTTAAGAAAACATATGCGTTCCTTATCCATTTCCGTTGGTATAACGGAAACATTTGCAGCAAAAATAAATGAGTGACTGAGAATAATTCCACTATTTTCAATCTGTTTTATTTTTCTTAATTAAACTTACCTCTCTCTCTCTCTCTGTATATATATATATATATATATATATATATATATTATTATATATATATATATATATATATATATATATATATAGACTTAGGTTATTCTATTCAAAGTAATTATTATGTTATTGTATTCATAAATATGGGCCAATCATTTTACTTATTTTAAGAAAATGATTAATGCATATTATTGAATTAAAAATAATCGAAAAATATCATCAAGTTTAACTAGAAGGGTATTTTAATTAATTAATATATATTTAATAAAGGAAATTTGCATTATTTTAAGGAATCATAGATTCTATTAGTTTTAAAAATCCGATTTTACGAATTATAAGGTTTTTAATTCGAAAATTCTGACAGAATATGTTTGAGTATATTCAAAAATAAAATAATAAAAATATTGTTGAGCATATTTCTTGTAGAATAA